CTGGATATCTAACCTTCATCGACGTCCCAATCCTTGACTTTTATCATAACTGAGGTAGCAACACAAAGTAGGGCAAATCTCAAAGCTTAACTCATGTGCACAGATGGTGTCTTAAGAACCATGCCAAGGCCAAAAGATGGAGCATCCTTAAGACTAGAACCTGACAGCCTGTAGGTATCACTTTCGTACACTTGGAGGATTCCAAGGACATCTCTGAATCATTCATGGACCGCTGAATACTCTGGAAATAACTGAAGAAGACATTTTGACAGGATATCATTTATCATTAGGGTCCCCCCAAGCAACTAGCAACTTTTAAGATTTGTCTCAATAATTCTGTTATTCTAACTTTAATTCAATCTGTGCCAATGTTTTTGTTACAGATTATTGTTGATTGCAGTTGTTATTGATGCTTAGTTCTGAAATTTCTTTCTATTTAACTTATCATTTAGCAACTGTTTACCTACAACTACCTGACATTATTTTTTTCTGTTATTTTAATTTATTGTTATTTTGATTTGATCTGCAAAAATTGTTACTCTTGCAGATTTGTGTTGATTACCTGTTATTGGTGATTAAAGTTTTGAAATAGGGACAAATTTGATCTTCCATGGTAACTACTTTCTTTGGCGTTGCACTTGATGAATTATCATTTTATATTATATGTACAAAATACAATGTTCTGAGTCTTCCCCCAGGACACATTGAAAACTGCTGATCAGAGATATAGATGTAATCTAGTACTAGCAAAGCCAAGTGTTATCATGATAAATATCAATTAGTTGACAAATTGCTTTCTTTTGCTTCATACAATGTACCTATCTAGGTTCTTAGTCTCCAGTTCAAGAAAGAAAGTCATAGCAGACTACAACAGTGATTGTCTATTATTTATTGGTTTGACTGAAATGCAGTCTGCAAACAGCAGGTATTTCAAGCCCTGCCTGTAGGAAACAGGCCACCCTTTCCCACCCCTACACAGAACAACATGACACAATTACGTGTCATCTCCCCGGAGAACCCACCACATTATCTCAATCGTCCCTCCCCTGACTGCCGACACCCCGGCTAAATTGCCAGGTCTGCATTATTGATACAGCAGTGAAGATGGGTCCAAATGCTCCTCTGAATAAAGATTGTTGGAGGTGGACCAGGGCTCTAGCCAGCGCCAGTTTTAACGTCAATTACCGAAACTTTTCAGCATGTGACAGAATTTTGTTTTAAAACCAATCCGTCAACCTTGACACTCAAAAGTTAACAAAAATCTTGGGTATTATAAGAAAACATCCAAAGGACCACCGACAACCACTCTCAACACCATTATTTGCCTCAGTCTCAAAATGCAGGAAATTGCAACTTTTGAAGGCTTGAAAATCTTAAATTTCCCAGGGGGCCCCCCTAGATTGCAAGCGCCAAACTGCCTATCGCGCTCCCCTCCCCAAATTCGACAATGAACCTGGGCTGAAGGCAAAAAAATTTAAGCTGGCTAGAGCAGCGAGGGAGTGTTGAGGCCAAGTTTTTTTTTTACTCTTGGCAGTTCTCAATTAGTATGCTCCTTTCATTTCGTCCCTTTCAGGTGTGCACACACCTGTATTATTGATTGTGTGGCTTGTCCTCGGTCACTTTCAAATTGATCTCACAGCTGACTGGCTTGACACACATAAAGCCGACTGGTTATTCCACAGTAACATTGTAAAGACTGACCCGGTTTGCTGTAGGAGAGGATATCCATCATTACAACAGTGGCTTTGATGTCATGTCTCTGAGTCAGTCACACTTGGGGCAGGAATTTATCACCGATGATCGGGAACTAGTTTCAGCCCCAAGTCTTTTGGTAGAAGTTAGAAAGGTACTGTACAACAACAATTCCTTAGGCCACACAAATCTATTTCACCATTTTTCCGATGTTTAAACTTAAATTAAAGTAAAACCTTAAGTAAAAATGATCTTATTTTGCTTAATTAAAGAGAAAATTAAGATAGAGGACTGGGTTAAGTCTGCACAATGAGGATCACAAATATCACTTATTAATAAGTTAATTTGAGGTAATTGTATTTTGATACTGACTTGATTGCATATTCTCAAGTTGCAATATCTGGCTTTAACCACAGTAACTGTGATCTACCACCAGTAGTGAGGGGGTATGTCTAAGTGGGTTGAATAACCCAAGATTGTCCCTAACTGAACAATTGTGTTGCAACTAAATACATAAAGGTATATTCATCAATGCCCCAGAGCCATATACATCATGTCCTAAGCCTGTAATGGATGCAAATGATGACTCAAATCAACCCTGCAACACTAGTGCTGTATATATGAGTAAAGAGCGGACACGCTGTGAAATTCCCAAGTGTCTCCCCCTCCGCTATTATTTCATTACAACGACCCAGAAACTACAAATCTGCATTAGCAGAGCTATAAGGCTATTCGATACGCTGCTCCCTCTAAGCCTTTCCCAATACATCAGCGATCACAATTACCCGGAATACAAGCCCCCTAATCTCTTTAACAACTTTAACCAATACGGCAACTCAACGGCAATCTGATCGCGCACATTAGCCACTGCCTTAATCGCGTTAGTAGGACATACTGGCCGATATTTGGGTCAGCGCACATGTATGGATAAGGACGATTTATTTCAATTAGGCAACATGAAATCAGCATGCGTGTTTCCATCAGATTACAGTGAAATTGGACTCAACAGAGGTTTAAGAGATGCTCTGAGATATGCTAAGTGTCTTGACTTCAGGGCATCTCTTATACTTAGTTCTTTGTATTTCCTATGTAATGGAAATAAAAGCTTTCCATTACAACAAGTCTTAATGTGAATTTCCATTATAATGTAGTTGTCATCCCATCAGGTAACGTTACATATAACATTGGTTAATTTTTAGTGACAGCAGTAATCCACAGCAATGCAGCAAGTTCAAAATTCATTGTTTGAATTATAAATCAGCCGGTATGTTGAATTCATGGTTCCTATCACAGCTTTTGAGGCTATCATAGGAAGCCTAGGCCTGATTTTTTTGCCCTGTCGCTTCACATTTTTTTCCTGAAAAAAATCCGAGAAGCAAAAAATTGAATTATGGCCTAATGGACACTCTAGTTTCCAGCTTGTTCAGTGTCAGAAGAGCAGATGCTCCTCTGTGGGTTGTGCTCTAATAAGCACCAGGTGATTATAGACATTATCAACCATGACAGTATCAGGACAAGTCAATACTGATGGGGGAGGCAACAGGTGAGTAGATTTACGGCCTCTGAACTGTGCTTTCATGCTCGCCAAAACCTGTTTGGTTACACATGTGTCATACATGACATTGCAGGGCTTGAAATAACACCTGTATATGCAGGTTAGTGCAGGTAAAATTGGAGCTGTGCAGGTATTTCTGATGTCTACCTGCACCTAACCTGCACTGGTCCATGTACTGGGTATATGCAGGTTAGTGCAGGTAAAATTGGAGCTCTGCAGGTATTTCTGATGCCTACCTGCACCTAACCTGCACTGGTCCATGTACTGGGTATATGCAGGTTAGTGCAGGTAAAATTGGAGCTGTGCAGGTATTTCTGATGCCTACCTGCACCTAACCTGCACTGGTCTGTGTACTGGGTATATGCAGGTTAGTGCAGGTAAAATTGGAGCTGTGCAGGTATTTCTGATGTCTACCTGTACCTAACCTGCAATGGTCCATGTACTGGATATATGCAGGTTATATGGTGATGATGTAAATCACTGTGTGGCTAATACAAGATGGGGGTTTGCCAGGCCTTCATCCAGGTGATCTGTATCGAATCACTAACAAGAACCAACAAATTAGATTGGTCCAACCTTACAAAATCACTAGTGCTGGCTCACTGAGTGATCTGCATTGCCTTTTAATCACCGAGGAGATACAATGACAACATATGAGATGCGCCGCGGCAATTGACCCAGATTTTCGTCGCAGGGGTCCCAAATTGACAGTTCCGCATGCATATTAAACAAATACCTTTCCTAACAGGTTTAGCCAGGAGCGGCTATGTACGGCCAATTAAGCAATTTGCTGTGCACATTACCCGACCCATTTCACCAACTGAATTACAGAGAGTAATGGAACAACTACTAATCTGGGCTGTATCTTTTGCCCTGGTAGATAAATGTTTTCACAGTCACTTTTAGTGCTTTGCTTTATCAACGCACAGATGTAAGGGCAATTTTGCTATGCTGACAGATCAACAAGATGGTGATGAAGCTTGATAAAACTTTTGGATAGGAGTCAGAAGTACACATATCAATTCAAGGAAGCCATTGAAACATGTATTGAGTTACTATGGTGTCAGAAAATAGCTAACTTTTAAGAATAACAACATACTGTGTCATTCAGCACCAAGGACAGTTTTCATATCATGATAATATTTTCATTGACTTTTAGAAACTGTCATTGGCAATATTGGCATGAAAAAGCCTACATCTGAACGCCATTCAGCACCAAGGACAGTTCTTATATCATGATAGTATTTTCATTGACTATTAGAAACTGTCAATGGCAATATTGGCATGGAATAAAATTTGAATGTCATTCAGCACCAGGGACAGTTCTTGTACCATTATATGATAATAGTGTTTTTATTGAGTGTTGGAAACTGTCCATTGCAACATTGGTATGAAAAAGGGGAAATGTGAATATTACTCAGTGCCAGGGACAGCTAGGTATTTTGCTGTTGACCATTGGAAGGCATCAGTGCTTGTGATCAGCACCAAGGACAGAGCTAATGGAAAGTTATACTATAGACCAAATACATACATTTTGTTCAGTCCATTAAACCCAATTCATACACTGAAAACAATAGTCTTTGAGGAAAAGATGATTCAAGCAGTAATTAGCACACATGTCTGGTTGATTAAAAAAAAACATTTACCTGTATGAGCAAAGAATTAGAATGAGGGATATGGGCAAAACTTCATGCACCGGTTTTGTAGCCATTGATCTAACAATGCCCCCTAGGTATTTGTAACAGTACTGCACCTGTATGGAGAAGATGCTGGTGACTGGACTGTGGTCGCTCTGTTTGATGTGAGGCAGGCTGGTGTAGCTGTGCTGTGTGACGGACACCTCCGCTCCAGGCCTGGTCCTCCACAGGATACGGTCACACCAGCCAGGCTTCCTCTGTTTCTCACTGGAACAGGTAAAGACATAGTGTAAGATAGTCCCGTAGTCTTTTTCAACATGTACGGGGAGTGGGTTGTTAATCCCACTGTGTCTAAGGCTTGTTCTTGTAGTTCAGAGCCCATCCCATTCTTACCGCTGCCTTTTACCTCACCAACTGAAGTCAAGTACTCATTTTACACTATACTGAACCACAAAACACCCTTGTAGGGTTCAGAGTGAAACTGACACACCAGTTTTGTATGTAGGACAGATATAAGAATAGTACCTGGTGTCGTAGATGGTTGTTCCTTTGTCAAACTTGTAGGTTGGTTGGAATGTAATGTTTCCCTCAGAAAACCCAGAAAAGGCAAGACCCTCTCTTTGTGCCTCTTTCAACTGTAGAAGAAATTATTCGAGTATGAATGATAGAATCTTGGAAATCACAAGTACCCTGTACTAAGTGCTGGATTGGTTAAAGTACTTTTTACCATCATAACATTAATCAAAAGCTCCTCTAGTGACAACAATAAGAACTGCAGAAACAACAGCTATCAAGCATGGCTGGACGTCAAGCTACTACAAATTTACAAAACATGAAATATGTTTCAGCTTTCAGAGCAAAACATACCTGGTCAAATTCCAGCAGTTTTTGAAACCTCCCATCTGCAATGTTTTTTATGACTGCTTCATAGTCTATTGGGTCCAGCCTGAAGTTCAGGTCTCCAATCCAGAAAATGAAACTGTGACAGTCAAAAAACATCATTTCAATCCACCAAAGCATATCATTCAATGCTTGGAGAATACGATATTTCAATGCAAAATGCCCCAGACGTTGAGAAACTTTGGTGTGATCAATACAAACAAAATCGCCATGAACATCAACTTCAATGTCTGAATCAAAATTTTTGAGAGCAAAACACCTGCATCAAATGAAATCATTGCCAGGTACATGTACAGGTATTTGGACATATGAAGGTAAACATTGAGTTGACATACTCATGCTCCATGATGGTTCCAGCCCTGCAGCCAGGAAACCTCTGAGCCTCTGTTATTGCATGGAACTCCTATAGGACACACATGCACAACAAATTGGTCAAACTGAGTTTGGAAGTCCTTAAACAAGTTCTTACAAGACTGTACAATGAGTCACACGTTTCTACATTTTATTTCAAAGAGGAACTTCAGGATGACAGTAACCTCAAATCTCCTGTTGGAATCTTATAAGTTCATCATCAATTGCATAACTGCACATGCCTAAAAGAATAGTTCTGTACATCACATATTTTGCACTTTAAAAATTGGACTTGCAATTGTATGAACAGGACTGGTGCAGATGATGCCCATTCTTATACTACATGTATTTCCTGCTTGCTTTTCTTCTTTCAAAATAGCGCTGCAAAAATGGAGGATCTACGTGTATACATGATTATATTGCACCTTGATATTAGAAAGAATATTTCCATGTCAGACCTTGAGTTAGATAATTTCCCACCTGTATCCTGATCTCGTTCTGCTCCAGGTGAGCGGCCAGGTGTGTGTTGGTGATGCACACACTGTTGCCGTACAGGTCCATCCTCACTGTCACTGCACCCTTGTTACCCTGGCAACACAGAATTGTAGGGGTTCTATCATTAGTATACTATTTAGATCATCGGAAATGAAGCCAAGCCAAGAAGAAGAGATCATCTGAGTGAGTGAGTGAGTGAGTGAGTGAGTGAGTGAGTGAGTGAGTGAGTGAGTGAGTGAGTGAGTGAGTGAGTGAGTGAGTGAGTGAGTGAGTGAGTGAGTGAGTGAGTGAGTGAGTGAGTGTGAGTGAGTGAGTGAGTGAGTGAGTTGTGAGAATGGTTCTAGGACTTTTTTTATACATGCCTATTTTCATCTGAGTGAAGTGAGGAACTTCTTGCAAAGTGCCTTACCAAAGGGCACAACATCAAGGCACATCAGCGGTGGGAAAATGTACAGGGAAGGCATTCAAAGTGCTCCTAAATCTACTAAATGTTGAAGAAGCCTGTGACTTACCCAGTATCCCCCCACCCCTGTGCGTGTGAAGGCAGTCTTGATCCATCGGATGTGAGCCAGGTGTTCCAGCTTCACAAACACGTGCAGCAGGATGGCCTGCATACGCTCTGTACGGATCTGTGACAAGGGAAATTGTAGTAACAACTGGTTAAAATCCTAGCTGCTCTAGACTACAGTGCTCAGGAAGATGGGAGATGTTATTAGAAGATTTTATGATTAAAATTAAAAACTATTTGGGCCTGAAATTTAGACAATACTACTGTATAAAACAACAAAAAATGATCTTCAACCTGAGTTTATAGTCCAGAGGCACAGCCTCTATAACTACAGAACTACACACACTAGTAATAAACTTTTCATGACTCACTTTGACATACCCCCTCTGAGACAGGTGTTTCATACAAGCATTCCCCCAGCTGTCCTCAAATATGACGGCAGTTGCAGGATTCCCTGGTGCCTCTTGTAATCTGGTTAGGAAACACAGGACTGTAGGTTGAAAATGCATCCCCATGATTTTGTATTGTAAGTTACATTAAGTTTGTAGAAATGTAGCCCATATGACACATTAATTTGTATTTGTCAAATGTACCAGTGGTATTTCAAAATGGAATAACAGCTTTTTCTCTACATTGACTATTAGTATTATCTATATTCACTAAGTCTTACTATATATTTGTAAAACAACAGTTTATTCCTGCAAAACTTTTACACTGTACTTTTAGTCTGTGCATTTTTCAGACTACTTTAGACTAGTACTAGAGTACTGGAGATGTCTTTTTCTGCCCCAGGCCATTTTGTACAATGCAGCCACTTGTGCCATAAAAAACATGGCAAGGGTTTTCCACTGGTGAGGCTCCCATTAATGTATTAAGGGAGATGGCAGCAGAAAATGAGGGGCAAGACATGCAGTATATCACACCAACACATCATCCAACCATCATGACAGTTGCCCGTGATGTATTTTATTTTTCCTGAGAAAATTCAGGTGTGAAATCGTGTCTGTCACAGGCAGGAGTGGCATCAGGGCACAGGCCATTTGGTATCTGGGTTACACATCTGAACCTTTGTGCAGGTGTAAGTTGTCAGTGCACATTGAAGTTGTGCTGATAACACTTAACAGGATAAATCTGAACAAAGAGGACTAACTGTCCACTCTTCATACCTACATTGGACAAGATTTGTACTGGTACAAGTATGTAACATTGAAAATTAGCTGCAACAGACACATTTTACCTGCATCACTCTGGATTTATGAAGTGTGGATCACACTGAAAACTGTTCAGAGACCATAGGCATTATTTCTTTTATAGTTCATAGGTGGTAATTACAGTCAATGCAGCAATTAAATAAAAATCCACATACACCTCCAGTATTTTGAGCCCTGCAAAGGCATTCCATTCAGAGAAGATATTCCAAGATATACTCATGTGCTGTTAACCAAGTTCTCTTACAGGAAATTTTACATTTATAAAACTTAGACTGCTTCGACCTACCCTGTCCTGACAAGGTCACATTGACCACCTAACTAGGCTCTGTACAAGTTCCCTTCATTAATAGATCGTTGGAGCAAAATCGGGGCTTGTAAATGGGATTGGAGCATAGCCAACCCTTCTAACTCATTGATTCCTAATTAAAGTTGCTCTTCCAGACAATATTGATTCCCTAGTACCTAAATGTGCAGTTAACCGGGCCTTATCTTGGCGCAAGGTGTTTAGTCTTTAAATCATTGAATGTTATCCAATTGAATCAATAACAACCGGCTTCAATTTATAGGCCCGCTGCACATTCTTTCCATGGGGGAGGTTTAATTACATTTTGGTCACCATTCACTGTGATGGAAAATGGAGATTGGTTTCTGGCTAAATATAACCTATTGCCAGTATTGGTAGTAGAAGAACTATTTATCAGTTAGCTCCTTTCAAATTGAAAATGATGAATATGAAATCATTAAAATTACCTGGGATATTAAAGGAGATTGTAAGTTAACCTTAAGCTTCTCCCTGCTGCCTAACTACACAGCCAATATAAAGTTGGTGCCACGTGGCTACCTTTAAGTTAACATGTTGAAGGTTAATGAAAAATAGCAGCCATCATTCTTCAGCTCACAACAATCTTAGCAGCTATGATGTTTCTGTGTCAGACTCAGAGAAGCCAATTAAAAAGTGTGATATCCACATTAAAAAGATCTCTGCTGGCTGTTTTTTCAACACAGAAAAGCTGATATTTGCGTCATAAAAGTGATTTTGTGTGTTCCACAGATTAAAATTGTGACACTAAGTACAATGTATCAGCACAGTCACCACCATTTGATGCATGGAAATGGTGGTTCATGTACGTCACACGTGGCCATGGATATTTTTCACCTGCAGAACTGCTGGTTTCCAATTTCCCAGCCTGCAATTTCATGTTTTATCTGCAAACCACAGACTGCAGGACGGTACTTCGCACCCAGCATGTAATCAATTGTCAGCTGAAGTCTGGGTCTTTTACCAGGACTGATTCATGATCATTATTGTGATAAAAAAATTACCTCCGTTGCAGAGGTGTGTTGAAAAGGACATGTGTTTTAATTTGCTTTCATTTTTGATTTTTAAACTTTTATTTTTTTCTTTACACACTAGTTTCTCATACTACTAGTCATAGGTTACTGTAGTGAGAAAAATATATGTAGGCACACAACTACATACTACATGTAAATGCCACAAAAGATGGTTGGAGATTAGTTGCCTCAGACTGGGCATCACCTTGTTATCTTGTACGGTCAACATGTTGGCAGAACGTACTGCGCCTGTGTGAAACCCATAATGTATTGTGCATAGCAGAACGTCTTTTTTAAGGTCATATTTAATAAGGATGACATCCTGTCCATATTTTACAAATGCTGTGTTAGAAAGGATATCGGGCAAAATTCTGATGCAATGAATGAGACCAAACATCCAACGAAAACCATGAGAAATCTGGGTTTTACACAGGCGCAGCATGTTCTGCGGACACACTTGTACATGTATAACAGTCTTACCCAATGGCAATGAGATCAGGAGGAGGTCCTTCTGCTCTGAAGAGGGGAGCTACGTTTACATGTAGTGGGGTGGTGTCGCACACATTCCATGTTATAAACTGTAATCTGTAACAGAACAATTTTAAGGTTATGGTCATCAAACAAGCATAACAGGCAAATGTACCACTACTACTGTCAGACTTTGTTGCGCAAACAGGATGGCTCAGCTCATCAGTTCTCAACATACAAAATAATGTCCAAAGTCCAAGTTTAAGCAATATATAATGTAACAATACAAAGTTAAGGTTTATACAAGTGCTATCCATTGTAAACAATGAACTTCAAATGAGATAGGGCAGTGGTTATGTTAGTGACACAACAATATTAAATCATATTTATTAAAACTGGCTAACTTCTAATAAGACAGAAATAGGCCAGAGTCCATGCAAGGGGGTTATCTGATCACCATTTTTGGCACACACACACATCAGGGCATTCCTGCAAAATAATCTAATTAGGCCACCAGAGATTGAAAGGCCACCTAGTACATGTACTACATGTACATGTAGAATAAGGCATGATTTGGAATTTGGAAATTTGGAATGAGAATTACAGCACATCCCTGACCAAAAAAATATCAAATTGCAATTGTCCACTACATATACCTTACGTATATGTAATTGAACAGTAAAAAAAAGGTGTACAATCAGTGTATCAATCTACACATCTATTTCTAGTACACTTCTTGAAAAGAGAATTTTTGAACAATTTTTCTTCAAACTAATGAGTCTGAAGTAGGTCACCTACAGTCCATGCAAGGAGGTTATTGGATCACTGTTTCAGCCACACTCATCAAGGCTTTCCTGTGAGTGTAATTAGCCCACAGGGGATAGAAGGGGAGGGGTTGTGTCAAAATTAATATGGATTAAAACCTTTGCACACATGCACAGAGAAGAGTAGGGGTGACCCATGCGGGTTTCTGTAAAATACAGATACCCGACCCATGCAGTGTGCTTAGCCAAAGATGGGCCACCTTGCACTTAAAGTAAGTACATGTTGTAGCCTTCTTAAGAGTCAACCATCATATCAAGTTGGATCCAGCACCCCAAAACCATATCTTAAACAATAGTAGATGTACTAGTAATACTAGTACTAGAAGGACAACAACAAGCTAATTGAATTTCACAAGCACAGACTAAAGACTATACACACAAAAAAATATTGAAACAAAAACATTCAATGCAATCATAGACATACATTGAATGGCTGGAAAAGGGAAAATATCAGAATCACTCATGCAAATCACAAATTATTATTTCTAGTTTCCAAGTGTTGCTATGAATTTATTTACTAGTAGATGCAGTTTGATTGTGAATATCATGATATAGATATTTGAGCACAATATCACAACATGAGTGATTGCATAATACTCATTGTCAATCATTTATATCAAACCTTAGCCATTTAGTCTGGGCTCTGAAATGTAGGCATTTAGTGTAGCAGACAATTATAACTTCAAAAACAGCCGATGTTTGAAATATGCATTTGCAATGTTAAATATATCGTGAGTACTTTCATTTGGAGGGGTGGCAGAGGTTTGAGCAAAATAAAACTACCCCATAATAATCAAATATTTCAAAAATGGTGACGGAAATACTCTATTGTTTACTGCCCTTCAAAACATAATTGAGGAAATCCGAAAGATTTAAGGTACCAAAATGGGTAACGCCCACCTGAAGTTGTGTGACGGGCCTGGCGTTTGTTGTTGTCCTTGCGGTTTGCTGGCAGCCATTCTCTCTCTTGCTTGACGAGGAACACCAAGCACCAAGCGGAAAACTTGGCAACTCCTTCGCACGACGACACAGCAGACGTCAAGCAACAGAACCAGTTGTAAACACAGCGCTCGAGGCAGCGCACAGACAGATTATAAACCTACAAATCGGTATAGAAAAATCAGTAGAGAAACCTCGAGTTGTTCAGTCTATACAGCACCCATCTTGCTGTAGAAAGCCTTGCAATATTTCCAACCGAGTCTGGAAGAAATGCAGCGTTTACTCCGCCCGCTGGTGGTAAATATGCGCCCAGACAATCGTAAATATTTCCACTACACTAAACGGCAGCGAAAACAAACCACCCGACGGTCGCCATTGCTGTGTAGGGTCAGAGGTCAAATTTCTGTCAACCTGATTATCACGATCACGTCACAGTTTGCCGGGTGACCATGAAGTACACGTTATATATCACTTTCTACTTCGAGGTATGCTAATCTATTGGATCAAAGGAAATCGTATGGATCATCGTATTCTATACTTTGCTAGATTATCGAGTTTACTTACTTTAGACACGTTTGTAACCTGGTATGAACGGACTGTCTCTTGCAGTCTCGTTGCCCCCTTGTGAAAACTGCAGAGGCTGAACCCCCCCCCCCGCATTTATTT